TCTTCTTCTTCTTCTTCTTCTTCTTCTTCTTCTTCTTCTTCTTCTTCCTTCTTTCTTCTTCTTCTTCTTCTCTTCTAATGAAGAATCCCTGCAAGGATGTAATCTTCTCTATAATCACTTAGGGGTGGAGTCTGGGCAACTGAACGGAGCTGAGCATTTACTGGAGGGATTCCCTTCCTGCTGCCAACGCGCAGTTTTTCCCCAGCAGATATATTCCCATTGTGCCTAGAGAGAGAAATAGCTGCCTCTACCTAGGATCAAATTCACGGCCTCCAGATTGTGAGGCGAGAGCTTCACCTCTAGGCCACCGCACCACTCAAAAACAAAGTCCAGTTGCTCTTTGAAAAAGTACCTCTGGTGTCAACCATGACCTGCATGACTGAGAATCTCCACAGACACTGAAGGAAGTGTCTTTCCAGAGGTGGCAGCTTGACTTTAAAACGTTCTCCCCAGCCACCCCCACCAAGCCACCCCCCCTCCCCCAAAAAAGATTACCTGGAGCTCACTTTTACAGTATGTTTTGGCAGCAGCAAACAAATCCTTTCTGAATATTTCTACACCGTTATTCTGTTTTGGTCTGTTTTGCTTCATCGCTGCTGTTGGAGTGGGCAGGCTTGCCTTGCTTATGTTAAGTATTAAATTCAATTATTGTCCTTGCTTGTATTAAACTGCTTTGCAATCTTTTCTAGGCTATATCGTAGGATACTTCGTGACCAGCTATGATTGAAGCAATTGCTGGAAATCTAAGGAACTAAACAGATTGTAAAAATTGTGACCAAATTGATTTTTTTTTTTATTTTACTGCATAGATAAATGATTAAATACCTCCTAAGGGTAATTATATTAACCAGAAATGTGCAAAGAGGCAATCTGGAATTGCCGTGTGTAATTTTTGCCCTGGAATGAGTCAATTAATATCTTAAGGATGGCGTGCACAATTTTGGCAGAACAGTGGCTGGTACAAGAAATGATCAGAGTATTAGAACTGCATGAATTTCTATCTGCCTGCCTGCCTGCCTATCATCTGCCTGCCTGTCTATCTACCTCTATCAAATACCTGTGCCTGTCTATCTATCTATTGTCTGTCTCTCTATATCTATCTATCTCCCCCTCTCCGTCTATATTTTGCTCTCTCTCACTCTCTCTCTCCATCCATCCATCCATCCATCCATCTATCGATCGATCGATCGATCTGTATCATCTCTCTATCTCTATCATCTACCTGTGGCTCTGTCTATCTATTGTCTGTCTTTCTGTTTGTATCTATCTATCTATCTATCTATCTATCTATCTATCTATCTATCTATCTATCTATCTATCTATCTCTATCATCTATCTGTGTCTGTCTGTCTATCTATCTATTGTCTATATGTCTATATCTATTTACCTGTGTCTGTCTGTCTATCTATCTATCTATCTATCTATCTATCTATCTATCTATCTATCTATCTATCTATCATATCTATGTCTATCATCTATCTATCCATCCATCCAATACCTATCTTATTTTTTATCCCATCTTTATTATATAGAATAGTTTTATTATATAATACAATATAAGTGAATCAAGGCAGTGACGGACTTAATATTGCTCTCTTCCTACTGTCAGAACTGCCGCCTCACTGCCAGCCTGCCATGAATTCTGTGGGGAGGCTGGAAAGGAAGGCAAAAGCTTGGGGAAAGGAAAACTGAACTGCAAGAACCAATGGAGTCTTCAGGGCCACTTCCCTGGCAGAAGATTGCCAACATGTAGACTTAGTGTTTCCAAAACATCTCTCTTAAAATTGATTGGACAATGAGAGACAAGCAATGAGAAGGAAGGGAAATTAACTGGGAAAATTTGGCGGCGAACCCTTACTCCAGTCTTTACTGAACTAAGGGTAATTGCTGCAATTCTATTTTATGATCTTTTTGGCCACTGTTAAGTGAATCATTGCTGTTCACTGATTCACACAGATTAAGTGAGCTTTTCCCCCCTGTAGATTTTGCTGCAAAAGTCAAAAATGGCAATCACATGACCCGAGACATTGCAGTTATTGTAAATACATACTGGCTGCCAAGCGCCCAAATTTTTGATTAGGGGACAGTGGGGCTGCTACGACAGTCGTAAAATGCAAGGACCGGTCATAAGTCTCTTTTTATTTTCCAGTGTAACTCTGAATGGTTGCTAAACAAATGATTGTAAGTCAAGGACTACCAGTACGGCTCCACAGACTGTTATAGAAATGCACGTAGTAGAATCGGTCAAAGGAAACGGCATAAGGAACAGACTTACCCCATATTAAAATGATGTACCGCAATGGTATGTAATACAGCACAAACATTGCTACTGTGAGCACCAAGCAAGCCAGTGCAGAGAGGAAAGGAACAGTCCAGTTGAACGTACTGAAACCAACATGTAAAAATATATTTTTTAATTAATTTTCTATCTATTACATTTCTTAGTGCTTAATAAACATTGTGCTATCTGAGTATTTAAATGGCTTAACAATACAGATTCCATTCTTCCTCTCCACCCCTTTTTCCCAGCCATTGGTAAAATAAGTTCCATGTTTGATAATATTCTCTGTCCCTGCAAGCCTGGAAACATCAAAGGACTGGCCCGTGGTGCCTCCGGTGGCTAAAACGGGCTGTGTGTGACCTCCCCCCCACAAACACACCTCGTTTTCACCCTCCGTGGCCCCCCTGCAGCACTCAGCCAGCCAAAAATGGGCCAGAAAATGTGAAAACGGGCTGAAAAATGGGCCGAAATATGGCTAGCAGAGTGCTGCAGGAGGACATGAAGGGAGAAAACAAGGTGTGGGGGCTCATAGGCAGACTCCCCCACACCCCATTTTGGCTGGCAGGATGCTGCAGGAGGTATCCGTCATGCTGCCGCACGCCCCCCACAGCCCATGGAGGAGAACTGCAGTGCTGGTCTGGCCCTCAAAGAAATCCAGTTTGACATCCCTGCTCTAGTGCAACAGCCCTCAACATTTTGGGCACCAGGGACCGGTTCCACGGAGAGACGTTTTTCCACGGACCTGGTTTCGTGTGCGGCCTGTATCCCGTGGATGGGGGCTTTGCTTGTTTGCACAGCCCAGTTTCTGGGATGCTGCGGCCCAGTGCTGGTTCACGGACTGGGAGTTAGGGACCCTTGCCTGGGGAATACTGCCAGAAATACTTCAGAAAAACTGAACTGCACAAGAATCATGGTTATGGGAACTTGAGCATTCTTGTTCTTTGTTGATTCAAAACTTATTGTCTACGTTTTTCAGGAGTTGGCAATTTTGGAAGCCCTTGTCTTTTCATCAACACTGCTTGGTCCCTCAATTATAATGGGACAATTTAATGTTAAGTAACATACTTAATTTAGGGATTAAGGATGGCATAATTAAGGATTGCAGATACAGCAGTCTCAATGGTGCTTTCCCAATAAGGCAATTGGACTTTCTTGGTTTTTTTTTTCCCCCTTGAAAACGTTTCGCTTCTCATCCAAGAAGCTTCTTCAATTTCAGTGAACTGAAGATGCTTCCTGGATAAGAAGCGGAATGTTTTCAAGCGGGGGATAAAAACAAGGAAAGTCCAGTTGCCTATTGGAAAAGCACCTTTGGGACAACCATGATCTGGATGATTGAGAATCTCCACAGACATTGTTGCAGAAAGTTGGTAGTCCAATGGTACCATCAGGTGCCTTGCCAAACAGGAAGAAGTCTTCTCATCTGTCTTCCATGTAGAGCGATTCTGATGGTTAATTGGGCACGAGGGAGATAGAAAGCTTTGCTTTCTTCCCCTCCAAGGACATCTTTTTTAAAAAAAAAACTAATGGAGATCAATGGAAACCTAGTTTTCAACTATCTTCATATCTAAAGGGTGCAAAAATGACATCAAAGGAGATAATATCAATTCCGCTTCCATCTAGTCAATCACACGGTCAAAGAGTTGAGTATCTCTACTTCCAATTCTTCACCCGTCTCTACATGTTATGAATTGCTTTGCTCCCCAGAGCGGCTGTGTGAATTGCACCCAGTCTTCAGAGGTCAAGCAGACACCCTTTGGCTTTGGATCAGAAGTAGATCCCTCTTTCTGCCCTTTACAAGATACTAAGGAATAACTCAGTTGGGTCATGAAGAATGCTTTCTCTTAATTGATGAGGGTGTTCTTTTTTTTTTTTTTAATGAATAGAGGACATAATGTATCTCTCAGCTTCAATGGAGACCTTCCCATTTAAATTAGAGTGAGGGTGAACCCAGGCCAATAAATATATGAAGTGTATTTTTAAATCCTTGGAGTGCGAGAGACACAAGCTAGCTATTTAAAAGGTTCTTTGATACCAAGGGTTATGCTGATGGAAAGGCTTGTGTAAACCATTGTGACGCTTGTTCAAACTACTTCAGCGGACTTCCCCTCCTTCTTCTTCATCCACAGTAACATTACAATTGAGACACAATTGGATTCTTGAGGGATTAGGCAGGGCAACCATATTAACGTCCCACTGGGATCTTAAGGGATCATTGTCACAGCGTTGAATGCTAGAAGGAAGTCACCCAACGTTCACAATCTCATTGCCATCCAGCTGTACATAGAACAGTGCTCTGTTCAGACTCAAAAGCCATTCTTACGTATTCCCGGCCAGCTGCGACAGATGTGGCACAATCACAACACATGGGTTTCTAGTATTTTTAGACCCCCACGCGGCTGCACTTTGAAAGAGGGGGAACTGTTGACAAGGCTCTGTTTGTGAGCACATGGAAGTGTTTGGAAGGAGGAGACAAAAACAGGGGTCACACGGTTATGCCAAAAAAAAAAAAACCCTCTTTGCTTCGTGGGGCCTATTCTCCACTGGCTGTGGCCCCAGAAAAGAGCCTGAAATTTTCAGATGAAACAAAGAAAGGGTAGACCTGTCCAATGTAGGAATAGCAGATTGCTTGGTGATCAGAGCAAAAGGGCTGGGTGGAAAACATGTGAGGTATAAGTCCAATGAATTAAAAAAACAAATTTGGTGGCAAAAAAGAATTGAAATGGAACTCATGATTTTTGTTGTTCAGTTGCTAAGTCATGCCCGACTCATTGTGACACCATGGACCATAGCACACCAGGTCCTCCTGTCCTCCACTGTCTCCTGGAGTTTGCCCAAATTCATGATCATTGTGATCTAACCATCTCATCCTTTGCCGTCCCTTTCTTTTGCTTTCCATCTTCCCTAACATCAGGGTCTTCTCCAATGAGACCTCTCTTCTCATCTGGTGGCCAAAGTATCTGAGCTTCAGCTTCAAGATCCGTCCTTCCATAGAACAATCAGGGTTGATTTCCTTTAGGATCGACTGATTTGATAACAAATGAGAAGTGGCTGGAATTTTTTTTAACTCCTTAGAAGCTTTTAGAACTGTGTCTATTTTTTCAGCATTATGTAGCCAAGAAATCTGAGGCATACCAATAAAAGGGGGAACTGAGGAAGAGGATCACTTGGACAATGAACAAACCTGGACAATGATCACTTGGACAATCAACCCAGCAGAATATCTAATGTCTCAGTTGATCCAGATTATTTTGAAATCATGGCCTAAAGCCATCGAAATTAAATTGTGGGAATGAATTTAAGCGTGTGTAATGTGGCACCCTTTCTCTGAAAAGACCAATATTGTTCCATTTGACACATGGGGAAATAATGACTTTTTGTTCCATGGAGAGAAATTCACTTGTAAGAATCTTGGATTTTTAATGCAGAGTTCAGAATTCCTATAGATTTCCTTCCTTCCTTCCTTCCTTCCTTCCTTCCTTCCTTCCTTCCTTCCTTCCTTCCTTCCTCTCTAGAGTTGGGAGAAAGTGACTGGCCCAAGGATATCAACCTGGCTCCATACTTAACATGGAACTAGAATTACCGGTTTCTGGTTCTCCATAAATTTCCAGTCATAATTAAATGTATAAGAAATTCAGAAAGAAGAATTCTAGAGTGATAGATTATCACCACTGAGTTGACATTCAGGTGAAGGAAACAACCTTTATTCCATTTTGTATTGGATTTTAGAAATTTCCAGTTAAAGGTTTTTTTTTTTTCCAATTGTTTCCAGCCGTGGTGTTCAGAGGTTTTTCAGAGCACGGGAACAAAACTTTGACTTACTTTTTTATCCTTTCTGCAAAAGATGCTATTTCCTCCAAAAGTGTTTGGACTGTTATAACAATGTCTTGGACCATGTGAATTCTTTCTATTAAACCCTTTTTGTCAGACTCCTGCAATGAGGGAGGAATGAGAAGAAAAAGAAGAAAAAAATATATTTATTTCCTTTTTTAAAAGGTGGCCTAGACAATAAAAGGTTATAAGAAGGTTATCAGAAGTAACAGCATTCAGGATAGTTACATTTCAGATCCACATGTCTGCTTATTGCTGTATTGTAGTTTGGAAAACAGTTGTGTTTTCTCCAAATTACTAACCCCCCTTTTTTAAGACTTACAAACCAGCAAACAAACAACCAGATGCATTTCTTGTTCCAGCATTCTGTGAACATTTCAATCAAACTAGCCAGAATTTTTTTTTTTTTAAAAAAAGCAGGGCTGCTTAAGAAAGAAGACAAGAGACAAAAGCAAAAAGAAATAGAGGGAAGCACCAAAATTATATTACTCAGAACCAGCACAGCACCCATCACTAACTATAATTGTTATATTTCTTGCCAATCATACCACTAATTGAATTATTTCTTCATGAACTATACATTCAGACAATATTGGAAAAGGGGCTACTCTTTTTATAAAAGAAGATTCCAAAACTTATGACATTACTCCAAAAAGTGCTTTTTCAAGAGGCAACTGAACTTTCTGGTTTTTCTTTGAAGACGTTTCTCTTCTCATCCAAGAAGCTTCTTTAGCTCTTCTCCATCATCCAGTCAGAGCTGAAGAAGCTTCTTGGATGAGAAGAGAAACGTCTTCAAAGAAAAACCAGAAAGTCCAGCTGCCTCTTGAAAAAGCATCTTTGGGGCATCCATGGCCTGGATGGCTGAGAACCTCCAGAGACATATGATGTAACTATACATCCAAGTTGAACAGGTTTGTTACAGGCAGGAAAGCATTTTCAAGAATGGTGATGATGATGGATATGGTGAACATTAGTGGTGGAATGGGACAGGTATAAAGTACAGGTAGCCCTCAACTTACAATCGTTCATTTACTGACTGCTCAAAGTTACAACGGCACTGAAAAAAGTGACCTATGACCATTTTTCACACTTACGACCTGCGTAGCTGTCCCATGCTCGTGTGATCAAAAGGCTTGGCAACTGACTCATACTTATGACCTGTGTCCCAAGGTCATGGGATCCCCTTTTGCAATTTTTCGACAAGCAAAGTCAATGGGGAAGCCAGGTTCACTTAACAACTGGGTTACTAACTTATCAACCGCGAGGGATTCACCTAATAACTGTGGCAAGAAAGTTCGTAAAATAGAGCAAAACTCACTTAACAAATGTCTCACTTAAGAACAGAAAATTTGGGCTCAATTGTGTTGTAACTTGAGGAACAACTTAGACTTAGATTTTGAATAACTTTATTGTCACTTTGAATTAGCATACATTAAAATGAAATTTCGTTGCATACAGCTCTCCAAGGGTCACCACCTCCCGTAGATCTATGGAAATTAGATGCTGTCTTCTCAGTGTTTTAAGCCCTAACTCCAACTCAGGGTTCAAAACGAAGTGTTGGAGGTGACACTCGGTCTTACCTAGTGGCGTCATAACGAGTGGGTTGCTCCCAAGACCACTGAAAGTCCAGGATAGAGGCATGACATAGTCTATGCAAAGGCAACAGGCTAACCCACTGCTCACTCCGGGAGTTCGATCCTGAAGGGCTCAAGGTTGAGAATAATTTGTAGCAGAGTTCTCTAAACATGGCAATTCTAGTTGGCTGAGGAATTCTGGAAGTTGGTCTACAAGTCTTAAAGCTGCCATGTTTGGAGACCCCCTATTTTATAGTAAAACAATATCTAGAAGTCTCCCTCACATCCTGGGTTTCAACACTTCCCCTCGGGATGGTGCTATAGGGCACTGCATGCCAAAACATCTAAACATAAGGACATTTTCCCCCTTATGCCATCACTCTGCTAAAGACCTAATTCCCACAGCATTGTGTTAAGTCTAAGAATATTTACTCATGTATTATGGCTGAATTTACTACTATCCTTCTCATCTTTTCTACTACCTTCTCCTATTGGTACTTTTATGATTATACTACTTCGTTTTTTGTATCTACAGTGATAGCTTTTGATAAATTCCTTGTGTGTCTAATCATACTTGGCCAATATTCTTTTCTTTTTTCTTCTCTTCATTCCTCTTTACCATACCCTACCCCACCCTACATTCTATTCTATTCTATTCTATTCTATTCTATTCTATTCTATTCTATTCTATTCTATTCTATCCTATCCTATTCCTAGGTTGACTCAGCCTTCCATCCTTCCGAGATCAGTAAAATAAGGACCCAGACTGTTGGGGGCAATAGGCTGACCTATTGTAAACCACTTAGAGAGGCCTGTAAAGCACCCTGAAGCAGTATATAAGTCTAAGTGCTGTTGCTATTGCTTTTGGAATCTGTACTGAAGGTATTCAATCAAAGTACCTTCAAACGAATTGACCCCATTAAAGCTTCACACCACCTGATTATAAGGTTTTTATTTTAACCAAGTGTTGGGTGAACATTAGTATGGAAATAAAGACATATTATTGGATTTGCAAAATGAAAAACCCTGATAAACACTGCGCAAGTTAGTGATATGACTATATAAAACATACAAGAATCTTTCTCAACTGCTTCACCTTGGACTCTGGTTTTTAAAATCCTGCTTTTATTTGCAAATAAGAATGCACTTAGAAACATTTTAAAAGCATACTCGGCTTTTCTTCCATAAAGGACCCATTTCAGTCCTCTGTTAAAATTCCATCTCTTCTTTTTTTTCTCCCAAAAGTGTACGCAATTCACTTAGCTTTAATCATTCCACCTAATTCTAAATTGTGCTTCAAACTTCTCAAACCCTTCTGTCCACAATGGCTCTAAAAGTTGCCTTTCTTTTCTTCCATGTAAGATGTTCTACCCTGATAGGTTGAGGGTGTGGGCAAGGAAAGACGTGCATTTCTGCAGTCACTCCGTGTTGTGTCTCTGTATGTGAACTACACCGAGGGTTGCCCAGACTTTGCTCTGGGTCATGAGACCTAGAATGGAGGAGCTGGCAACCTTCCAACCCACTTCCTTCCCTTCCATAGGGATGTTTTGGGATAAATATTCTGGATCTTTTCCCCTCTGTTCTCTGCAGCCCATTTTTTATTTGATCTTTTTTCCGCCAACTTCTCCCTCAACCCCAAAAGTTGGTCCCAATCTCCATATTTTTGGCAAGTTCTGCTGAAAGACAGAAAGAGTTCTCAGTCTCCTTCTATCCTTTCTTTACAATATTCTGCTGAGTTGGAAAGCATGTTTTTTTTTTAAAGAAAAAGATGCAACAGTCAACCAGAGCTAAATGTTGTTGGGCAGTTCCAAGTATCCCTTGGGTACTCCACCCCATAAAATGTCCACCAAGTCTTCACATGTAGCCAGCTCATTTGTTTGAATGCCTTACATTACATTAACGCAATAAAAGCAATCTTATCGATATTGAGAGCTCTGATGGTGCAGTGATTGGAATGCAGTACTGTAGGCTAACTCTGTCCACAATCTGGAGTTCGATCCTGACCAGCTCAAAGTTGACTTGGTCTTCCATCCTTCTGAGGTCGGTAAAATGAGGATTCTTTCTTCTCTTCTCTAGACTAGTCATACCCAGTTCCTGCAACCGTTCTTTGTTGGTTTTAGTCTCTAGGCCTTTATGGTTCCTAAGTTCCAGCGCGTTGCTTCCAAGCATGAATGGGTGAGGCCGATTCGAAATCGAGGGACTGCGTGCCATGTTTTTCCTAGTTCGAGCTAACTTCTGACCAGTTCTTAACAGCAGTGAAATAAACATTTGCAAGTGAGATCTTTCAAAGCAAGCCTGTTCTTGCAGCATGGAACTGTGAAGAACCGTTACGTGGCAGCTGGATAGCTATCCTGCTGGCTTTGTTTACACATCTCAGATTGCGCTACAAAAATGTGGCGATCACGCAATTTAGCCACACAATATTACATCTTCTCTTGTCAGCTTGCTGGACTGCCTGGGACTGAGAGATTGAAATAAGTGGGAATCAGGGGGTTTATTCTGACGTCCAAAGAGTCCCAAGGACCTTGCTTCATAGACAGATGTCTACATGTCTTGCCATCAAGGTAGGAACAGTCTGTAGATGCAAAGGCAGGGCCTTTTCTGTAACCCATCTCAATTGCAGAATACCTTCCCAAGGAAACACAGTCCCGGATCCATTCTTAACAGGTTCTAGAAGGGCAGTACTCTTTTCTACTTTTATTGAATATAATATTTGTTTTAAACAGAACCTTGGTTTTATCCACGGTTATGATTTTTAAGCATTACTGTATTAATATTGTAAATTAATCTAAGTTTTCGTTCTGATAGCCTGTAGCCTCCATGTTTTCCTGTTCTGTTTATGCACAGTGAAAGCTTTGATTTTCTATTTTACGTTTTCTAATTTTTCTTATTAGTCTTTCATTTAAGGGTTAATAAAAGTACTATTTAAAAAGATGAAAAATACGACTTTGGAAATAAATTCACAGTTAAGAATTGATTAAATAACACTTGTGTTACTTAATATCTCCCCCTCATACTTCTGAACAGAGAAAGAATTACTAGGCTTAAACAAGACCACAAAAGGGTAAGTTCAATCTTGCGGGGAAAAGAGTTTTTTAAAAGGAAAAAATTGTTGAACAGAATAAGAATTTTTACTCTTTTGCCACAAAAATAATCAGCCTGTTTTCTGGAAAATGAGCTCCATGGACATGGTCCAAGGGAGGCTGAAATATTCAAACATTTAACATTTATCATGCAGTCTTGAATAATGAGGCTGTTGAGAATTTATTCCAAAGAAGGATATATTTTTAACATATCAAGTAGTCCTGCTATTGTCTTGGCCAATCTGACCTTTGGGATAGGAGGTTCCGAGCCCCTTTCAGGAATTAACCATGGGGAAATCAGCAAGCAGAGAATGTTTAAGGAATCCCCTTAAGAATGATACAAAGTGGGCAAGACCATTCTTTTTTAGGGGGAAGGGATCCTTGTTTTCTGGGGTGGGGATATAGGTAGGATTTTCATGTCTTTCCCTCCACATAACAGAATGAAGCCCACTGTAGGAGAAGCAACGACAGAAACTGGGGGTGAAATGAAAGCGGGAACTATCCTAGCATCGGTACATAGCCACAAGCGAAATAAATCCAACCCTGCCCCCTTGTGTGTCACTGGCCCTTATCTAACTATAACCAGGTATCCATCATTAGTTAAGAAGATTCCTGTATGCAGGCTTTTAGCAATAAAGCAGTCTAACTGAACCTTCATAGGTGGACCTAGTCTTTCACCCTGACACCTACATCCACCAGGTCACATTGAAAAAGCACTACTACAGCCTACCTTAAGGGAAAGTTGCCCACTCTCGCTCTAAGTCTACAGGAAAAAGTTTTCACAATAATGTCAGAAATGTAACCGGGCGTCCAAGACCTGAACGAAAAGCTGAGAAACAACAGAAATGGGGTTTTCTCATTAAGTAAGCCTATTTCAGTATACGGTCAGATCCCTGGAAAACCTGGCACGGCCTCCTTTAATGACAAAATAAGCTTTTTTTTTTTTTCCAGGAAAAAAAAAGAAAGAAAATCCTTTTTTTAAAAACCTTCACTTAGTACACAATGGTATGAAACCTATATAACTCTGGAAGCAGGGGAGAGAAAAGTGACGTTTTAGCTGTCTTACAATTTCATGGAAGAAGTCAGACTCTGTGGTTAAAGGCCATCACTAAGGAGAAACCTTTAATGGTAGCTTGCTTGGGAAACCAACCATTATTATTTTCCACCAAAGTTGGTATTTGGAATAAGAGGGGGAGGGGGAATTACAAAAAAAAAAAAAAGATCCAGCAGCCCAACATTTTTTTAGTTTAAAGTTTGATCATTCATATGGAAAGGAATTAATTGGTTCCTCTGTTTTTTAATTAACTGTCTAAGGGGTTTCTAAGCTGTAAACAGTTATGTCTCCAAAGACACATTACAATTCCCAGAAGTTCTCTCTGTTATGGTCAAGAAAGGTCTCTGTATATTTTGACAAGAACACAACCATTCACTTGATAGAAACCATGTTCCTCTGGGTTATATCCCAGCCAACTGCAATCCCTAGAAGTTGTTATGTTGTGTGGGGAGTGGAGAATGTACTTCATTACAATTTTTTAAAAAATAAAAAAGTCGGCTTTTGTATATTTTAGTAACCTGATGCAAAAAAGAAAAAGTAATAATAAACGCTTGAAATCCATAATTGGTTTTCTACAATGCATTATTTTCTAATGTATAGGAATTACCCTTCTTATACTAATGTTCCCAATATGTGTGAATCTATGCTTGTAGAATCTTTATTTCCAGTTTAAGATCTCGGATTCCATTATTCCCTCTTACCTTGTCATCATCATCCTCGTCCTCTTCTACAATAATGTATTCCTTTAAAATCAAAAAGAAGAAAAATATTAGACCATTTGAAAAAGTCCACGCAATGTATAAGCACTCCTTTTGAAAAATACATGCTTCTTTTTATTCAAAAAGGAGAATAAAACAAACCAGCTCTCTTGTATATTATTCAGATCTTATCTATTTATCATCTATCTGTCTGTCTGTCTATCTATCATCTATATCTATCTATCTATCTATCTATCTATCTATCTATCTATCTATCTATCTTCCGTTTATCTATCATCTATCTATCATCTATCATCTCTATCGTCTATCTGATTGTCTGTCTATCTATCTATCTATCTATCTATCTATCTATCTATCTATCTATCTATCATCTATCTATCTTATCTATCTGTTTTGCTCACAGGATGGGACCATGAAGTCCAAAGTATCCTTTTTGGAATCACAAGCTTTTAAAAAGTAAAACAACTAAGAATGTTTTCACCTTCCCTATGCTTTGCACAAAACTGCTTATCCCAGAAAGGACCAGTGTGATAGGTATGTCCACAATGCCAATTTAAAATCACTAATTTATTTTTCCTTTAACAATCATTTCTTTCTTTAACTCTCAAGGACGAGAAAGCTTAAAAAATAATAATAACAGAAAAACAGCGATAACCCTTATCCAAGAAAACATGTTAACAAAACATATGAGGTCTAATTGTTCTGAAGGCCACAAGGATTTGAGAGACCTTATTTTATGTTATTTTAATTCATTGCCAAGTTTCTCTCCTGGTAAGGGGGTTTTGTTCATCATTTGACAAATGAACCAGTTGGAATGTCAAGGCTGAGATCCCGAACACTCAGTTTGTTCTCCCATTGTCACTTATTTCAATGATTGTTCCCTCCCTTTAGGGCTATTACAAAAACATTAGGAGGCAGAAAACACATTAGCACACACATAATCAATCTTAAGAATCAGATACAAAATTCTATGCAGCATTATCGTGCCAATTGTTGAAAGAGAGGGTTAACAAAGAAAGCGAGGTTATGATGAAATGTCAGGGCAACTTGAATAGCAGTAATTTTTGTTTTTATTTTTGCAGGCAATGTATAAACACATTCTTTGGATTATGCTAGTATTGGAATAGGCCTTATATGTGATAAAGATAAACAAATAGAGCAGAATGAAAGAGATGCACCAAAGCAAAATTAAAAACAGTTTTGTTGAAAAATGACAACAAAGAAGACGGCAGTTCAGGAACAACTACTTGAAAGGGAAAATTAATCGAGGACCACGTTCTATAAAGCAAAATATGAAGTTGTCTTGGCAACAAAGAGAAATGCAGCTAAAAGGTAAAAGGACCCCAATGTTATCATATGGCAAGGTATGTCCTATGGGTCAATCCAAGTGAGGCAAATAGCAAGGGAACAATTGTTGCAAACTCTTTGTCTTCACCCCATGAGGATGTAAGACGGAAAATATTTCAGTTGTGTTCTCTGCTATTCTGGGCATCTCCAGATTCTGCACAACTTTGGAGTCTTCCTTCTTCTAGTGGAGACCCAGGAGAAATAATAGAAAATGTGAAACGTTTTGGCCAATTGTCCATGGAGATTCTCAGTCATTCTGATCATAGTTGTCCCAAATATATCACAGAAATGTGGCCACAGGCCGACTATGAAATAGATCATAACCTGTTCCAGGTTAAGCTAAAACAGAAGAAGAAAGACAGTGAATTTTCAGAAACATGATCCTGAGAATATATCTGCCCATTAGGAATCTTTTTCAAGACCTAAACCTCATTGATAGGGGAACCAGAGGACCTGTGAAATGAAATGAAATCTTTATTAAGGTCACAGAAATCAAGAAAAGTTGCTATGGGTGAATGTGGAAAGAGACTGCCAAAGATGAGGAAACAGAAGAAAACAAATGATGATAGAAGAGACAGCGGAAATTGCCAAGAACAGAAGAGAAGTCCAGGCCAAGAATGACAAGGATCTCAGGCAGGAACTGAACAAAGAATGTCAGGGAGATGTTAGAAGAGATGAGAAGCAACAGGCAACATTTGTAAAGACATAGAAGCAGACATAGAAAAACAAGAATAGCTTTCCAAGGGAACTCAGACAGAGGTTCAAACTTTGAATTTGTTTCCTAAAAGTTGCCAATATATGGATGGGAACTGATTCAAATAAAATCAAACAGAGACGGGAGATGTCTACTGAACTGTAGGAGGGTGAACATCCAAAATAGTTTGGAAGATACTCCCTATTTATTGAAACTTCTAGAACAGACAAGAATATGAAGTAATTTCAATCAACAGTGGATGGAAACTGGTCAAGGAGAAAATCAAGCTAGAACTAAGCAGAAATTTCCTGACAATAAGAACCATTAATCAATGGAATGGCTTGCCTCCAGAAGTTGTAAATGCTCCAACACTGGAGATTTTAAAGAAGAGATTGGACAACGATTTGTCTGAAATGGTATAAAATTTCCTGCCTGAGCAGGGGGTTGGACTAGAAGACCTCCAAGGTCCCTTCCAACTCTGTTATTCAGTTATTCAATTCTCCTGGTCATTATCAAGGCAAAAAGCTTCAGGAATTGATGAGATATCTACAGGTATATGACACACAATAAAAAACATCAGTAATTGTTTAGCCACACTATGCCAACAAATCTGGCAAACAATGTAAGGACCAACTGATTAGTAAATGTCAATATTCACATCAGTAGTAAGACAGAAGACCTAGCAGAATTGCAAACTATCATACGATATAATTAATTTCACATGCTACAGAAATAATTGGTAGAAACATCAGACACATATTAGAGTCCTACATGAAAAGGAAATGCCAGATGTTCTGCGCTGGTTTTAAGAAAAAGTAGAGAACAAGAGACATTATTGCTGATGCATGCTAGATAATTGCTAAACTGAAAACATGCCCACAAAAAGTACGTATGTGTTTCACTAAATATAGATAGGCCTCTGATTGTGTGGACTAACATACTTAGGAAAATGGAAATTCCAGACCATCTCACTGTCCTCATGCCAAACCTATCCACAGGGAAGAAATCCAGGCAAAACAAGATGAAACAGATTGGTTCCAAGTTATTCAAAGAATAAGGTTGTATATTCTCTCTTCATTCACTCAAACTATAGACTATTAGATAAAGAGATGATAAATAGATAGAGATAGATAGATAGATAGATAGATAGATAGATAGATAGATAGATAGATAGATAGATAGATAGATAGATAGATAGATCTTTTAAACATTTCCTAGGATATTTCATTTTTTCTAGGAGAGGCTAAGTGCTAACTTCCTACACCACAAATTAAGTCCCAGGTGGATCTGAAAAAAATAGCACACACACACACACACACACACACACACACACACACATCATACCTACCTGAGGGTCTTGTGTGATTAAGGCTTTGTCAGGACTGCTAAGGGAGATGTTGTACACAAAGAGCATCAACAACGCTAAGGGCACCATGTAGGGCTCAAAATGCCACACTGTGGTCACGAACACCTGACAAAAGGGAAGAGGGAGGTTAGCTACATTATTTGCATTAAACTCCCCCCGAAGTCAAAAGATAACATTAACGGAGAACAAGAAAGATACAGAGAAGAAAGCTTTCAAGGCTTTGTATCTGAAAATGAGGCCCGTAGCTTTGTGCCTCTCTGTTAACCTCTGACGCCCGTCCTCCTGAGGTTTGCATTCATGTCAGATACGTCAGCCTGGATGCTTTTATATTTCTTGGTCCAAGTGTACTCTTGCATCACCTACTCCTTTTAAATCTTACATGCGTATCAACAAGGAAAGCGGATAAATCTATACAAGGGGTTTCAAGCACCTATTATGATTTTATTGGTTTGATTTGATTTGTCAATCGCTTACAAGATGATAGGTATAAGAATAAACATGATTATGAATATAGGAAATAGGTACAATCTGCAAATAGAGACACACGCCCGCAATGTAACGGGGTAGGGAAAAGTTGCCTCCAGCAGAACTCAATTTCTTGGTAAAGGAACATCTCCAATCCTATTGTTTTGATCACGAGGGAGCTCTTGGTGGGATGAAAACCACAGGTGTAGTTATTTGTGTTGAGATGGGAAGTAAATGGAAATGACCGTGTAAGGAAACTACAGATGGAAAAGAAGAATCAGAAAGGGGCTCCCTAAAACCATCCCTTCCTTAGGATGCCTCCCCAAATGCAAAGCTTGGTCCTTGCCCATCCAAGGACCATCCAACCCTGCCAATTGACATTTGCCCATCTCATCAACATCTGTCTCCAAGTAGCTGCCCCTGAGCTGGGAGTCCTAAGTTTACTCAGATTTCACATTTTCCCTTTGTAGAGTTTTCTTTAAATAGAAAACAGATAACCCATTCCAAATTCACCTGAGATGGAAAAGTTCCACAGGGAGGGAATCTGACCATGGAAACAGCATAGGCTCAGTTGAGAAAGAAGGGATTCACTGGGGGCAGAATGGGACAACTTGCCATAGCCAACTCACTGTGGCTAACTTGCTGCAGGACAATTCATCATGAGACAACTTGTTGCGGGCCAATAATAACAATTCTATTTAATTATTTTTTTAAAAGATTTTAATTTTTGCCTTTCAAATTTCATTCTGTTTCTCCTTTTGCATCCTTTCTTTATTGATTCTGTTCCACTATTTCTTTGATATTAGTGTAACTCTTGTCCTGCAGCAAGTTAACCTGCAGCGAGTTGGCCATGGTGAGTTGGCTGTGATGAGTTGGCCATGGAAAGTTGGCTGTAATGAGTTGGTTGTGATGAGTTGGCCATGGCAAGTAGGCCATGGTGAGTTGGCCATGGTAAGTAAACTGTGGTGAGTTGGCCATGGCAAGTTGGATGTGATGAGTTGGCCATGGCAAGTAGGCCATGGTAAGTTGGCCATGGCAAGTAGGCTGTGGTGAGTTGGCCATGGCATGTAGGCCATGGTAAGTTGGCTATGGTAAGTTGGCCATGGCAAGTAGGCCATGGTAAGTTGGCCATGGCAAGCAGGCTGTGGTGAGTTTACCATGGCAAATAGGCCATGGTGAGTTGGCCATGGCAAGTTGGCTGTGGTGAATTGCCACAGACCCCACTGGAGTCCTAAATGATATACACCAGTAATACAATTACATTTCTAAATTAGAACTAGTATTATTTGGACAAAAGCTGTACAAAGTATTTGAGGAAGGCATCCTTGCACAACACAATTTCTCAGAAGGCTGAAATCCTTGTGTTTTAAGGCACCCACAGACTCTGGTGGCCTGGGCATGTGCCATTTCATGTGTAAATATTTCTCCTTGGCAGCTGGGTTTCAACAGCCCAGATTAAGTGAGTGTGTGGTAAAGTCACCCTCGAGGAAAGTTCAGCTCCTAAGTACATGGATGGGAAGAGCAAGAAAAAGACACAAAAGTTCTCTTTGCAACCCTACAGGAACAGTTTCCCACCGCTTCCTAATGGGGATCCAGCCAAGGATTAACCAAGATTCTGCTTCATTTGCTCAAGTTCAAGCAACATCAGAGAGCGGCTATTACCCCTTTGATACAAGTGCGCGGCTGCTTTGATAGAAACTCCCGCTTTCACTATTAAGATAGTGTTTACTATCCTTTCAGGCTGATGGCTGAGGAGAGATTGACAACTTTTTTTGCCAAAGACCAAAAATTCCCCTAGAAATCTGTTTTGGGGAAGTGCCTAAAAGGCAGAGCTGAAGTCCAAAGTAGCAACTGCTATTCCAGAAGATTCTGGGCAGTTTACAAACTCCACCCAAAAACAGTTGTACCCCACACTAAAACAACCAGAATGAGAAAGAGTAGAGAAATACAACAGGGGCCCCGCTAATATAGAACCACCATGTTGACCTCAGAGCTCTGGAGAGAAGGAATCTGAACTGTTCTTAAGCACCAGAGTCTTAAGAGCAACTCACAGCCTAAGATGGGCTACCACTCACCTCGATTCCAGAAAAAGGACTGAATGTAAACTGAAAGAATATTATGTCTAGTTCTGGTCACCATACTGCAAAAAAAGATGTTGGGATCCTAACAGAAGTACTTTTATTTCCACACAGAAACAGCTTCTGAATTTCATGCTTGATGTGGAAAAGAATGCAATTATGACTTCAGGTTTTACCGATTAGACTGATAGATCTTTATAGAAATGACTCGTTTATATTATTATGGAAAACCAAAAAGCTGTGATTTGATGCTAATGCCTTACTTTACTGCAACAGAGAGAGTAGGAAGTCAATGTTTCTTTTTCTCTTCTTTTCCCTATCTTTCCTCACTTCTCTTCCCGCTTTCCCTTTCCTCCTCATTGTTCCTTTATTTACTTTTGTATTTTGTAATACTTAATAACCTAATACAAATATTTGGGGGACAAAGAGGTTGAGATCCTATAAAGAGTGCAGAGAAGAGCAGTAAATATGATAAGGAGACTGGAGGTTGAATGAGACAATAAATGATTGAAGGAACTAGGTATGCCTATCAAAGGGAAGGATTAGAGGGGACATGATGTCTTTCGATACTCAAGGAGCTGTCATGGAGAAGAGGGGATTGACTTATTCTCCAAAGCACCTGAGGGCAGGACAAGAAATAGTGGGTGGAAGCTTGTTAAGGAGAGATCCAACCTAGAAGGAAGAAGAAATCTTCTGACAGTGAGAATCAATGGAATGGCTTGCCTTCAGAAGTTGTAGGTGCTCCATCACTGGAGGCTTTTAAGAAGAGACTGGACAACCACTTGTGTCAAATGACCAAAGGCCAGGGGTGTCAAACTCAATTTCATTAGGGCCACATCAGGGCTGTGGTTGACCTTGGAGGGCTATGTGGGTGTGTCTGATTGGGTCAATTGGGTGGCCGTGGCTCACTCACTGGGCCGACTGGGTGGGTTCGCATTGGGTAGACAGGGCCGAGGCGATGCTGGCCTGATGTTACATTTTTCAGGACGGCCCTGAGGGTTGGATCCGACCACATCATGGGCCAGATTCACCCTGTGGGCCTTATGTTTGACACCCCTGGTATTAGGTCTCCTGCCTTGAAGCAAGAGATTACACTAGAAGATTTCCAAATCCTTCCAGCCTGATGATTCTATGAAATGACTTCCAAGCATTAATTCCCAACGGATCTCTTCCAGAGTCAATTAGTGAGGCCGACCCTTGTTCCTTGATCCAATGCTTTCCAAAGGACTGATTTTTTCCCACTGTGTGTACAATCCTTCCATTCCTGAACTGCTATTTCAACGTAAAATGGCTTGTCTGCTGCTTCCATTTTTCCTACCCTGGAGTCATTCTAAGCATGGAACATTTCCAACGCCCCCCCATTCCTGTTCAGGTTTGAGCCAAGTTGAACCACTCTTCTTCTCGTGCCATAGAAGGAAATCACTCTTTTATGGTACAACAGCACATAAAATATAAAGGGTCACAGTCAGAAAAGGGAGGGGATGAGCTTTGCATATGTGCTACTAACCCAAATCCACAGGAGATTTAAACACAGTTGCCACTTTTATTGACCCATAACGCCTGCATTACAGAATGCACTAAAATAATCAGATGGCATTTTGAATGTATCTCTGTTTCTAAATTAACAGGAAGGGTGGAGAACAAGGAGAGCCCATAATATTGCCAACAGCATGACTAGGCAATAAAACTGCCCCGAATCCCTCAGGTCATTCACTTTCCAAGCACAAAACCATCTGAAAAAAGGACAGGGAAGGAAGGAATTTAAAGCAGGCATGTGTGCTTTAAAAAAAAAAAACAATAAAGCCGAACGAGAACTTAAGGCATGTGACATGCAGTTTTGAGACTAGCTGATACCTTCAAACCAACATTAGTTGCTTTGCTTAATGTTTGAAATCCAAAGTTAAATCTTACTACTGTTCCAGGGACCCCAAGGTCAAAAAGTTGATGCCCTGTGGAAAATCAGGCTGTTGAAGATGCTGTAGGCAACTCCACAGCCTCCTGACCATTTTGGAAAACATCCATGAAAGGGAACAACCGAACAACACCCATGGAAGTGTGATGTGAGGACATGTTTTCAGAGCCACAGGCAAACCCAGCTCTAGTACAGAATGAATGTGAGTTCATGGTGCTCCATCTGGCTCAGATACTTTCCAATAAGCAGAACAACAATGCCTTCCTCACCCTTGTGAGGAACTAATTGAACATTATTTTAAACCTCGTATGTGCCAATGGTCATCTTTGGAAATTCTGAGACCATGACTGGAGACTCCCAGGAAATGGCTACCATTCAAGTATGGCTTTCCTGCTTCACAAAATGGCAGGTGTAACCTGCCCCAACCAGAATAACAGAAGGACAACAGAAGAACAACAGCATGACAGAATAACATAGTTGGAAAGGACCTTGGATGTGTTCAAATCCAACCCCCTCTCAAGCAGGAAACACATGCAGACAAATGGCTGTCCAATTTCTTCTTAAAAACTTCCAGTGATGGAGCACCCATAACTTAATAGAAATAGAGCACCAAAAGGCAAGGGAAAAAACAGTGGATGGAAACTAACCAA